AATAAGATAATACATATATGAAATACTAATATAATAATAAAATAATAATAATAAAATATGTTATAATAAGAATATATATAAATAAAAAAATAAAGAAACAGGGTCAACAATGTAGAAACTAATCTTAAGAAGTTATTAAAGTATTCAGAAAATGTTAATAATCCGAATGGAAAAAGAATACTTGCATATTCTTTAATCGAAACATGTATAAACCAATTACAACAAACAATTACCAAACAGAAGTTACAAAGACAATTGGGAAGATATAGTTCACAAAATATTACTCGTTTAAAAAGAATCTCTAAACAAGCATACAAACTGTTACAGGAGGTAAATGAATTTTCTATTTGACTCACAGAATGTGTAACCTCTCGTTGGTTACTTACCTTATCTAAAAGGAAGTTCGAAACATTTCTACAGAAGTACAATAGGATGAATAATCTAGAACAGAATTTCGCAGGAACTCAAAACTAAGTGGGAAGGAATTGTTAACTTTATTTTTTATTTTTATATATATTATTTATTAGAATTATTATATTAGTTTATTAGTTAGATTTCTTTATTTGTATAATATTATATTAGTACTATTATTTACGAGTAACAGATGTAAATTATTTTTATTGTAATGTGAGGTCGACACCTCTGGTTGACATCTTTGGTTAACATCTCTGGTCACCACCTCTGGTAAACATCTTTAGCACAAATAACTCATTAGCCAAAATAGCTCATAGAATCTCCTGAAATGTTACAGAAATTTCTGGAGCTTTCTTAAGATTAGTAATTATAGTCTCGCAAAAGGATGGTAATTTTGTATAAATAGAAGTAGTTTTTGTCCTTAGAGTTAGGACAGTTAGAACTTGAATATATTCTGAATTCAATATATGTAATAAATTATTAATAAAAGTCTTTGTGACAAATAATAATTTGAAACTTTTGAATTCTTAGTGAAATATTGTTTGATAATAATACTCTGCTTTGTGATCTCGGTATTATTCTATTTATAATTAACCTTGCTTCGTGATCTTGATTAATTATTATAATTCTGTGTGAATTCTTATAGTTTCTGTGTGAAACTGATAATATTCTGTGTGAATATTTGTTGAATTAGTATAAAACCCTCCTTACCTCTTTAAAAACCTCACACCTTAGCTTCTTTCGAACAAACCTGCATCATTAAATCCTTTATCCCTTATACCTCTTCAAGTATAAAACCTTCCAACTATAACATATTCGTCCAATTGCTTTGTGACCTTTTGGACAATAGTTTCTCTGTTATTAGTTAATAGTTAATTGTGTTTAGTAAAGGTAATCACGGTTAACAACGTCATGTTATTAAATAAAATATGCTTAATTAATAATAAAATTCTTTTATAATTATCTACATCAAATATTAATTCAATAACCTGTGATCCAATTTTAGCAATTTATAGCTTATTTGATTTCTCTCATTGAGACAAACATTTTAGTAGTTATTTCATCCAGATTGGACATCTCTACGACAAGTTATTAAATAAATACATGCTTAAATTCATTATAATTATTCACATCAAATAGTGATTTCAATAACCTGTAATTCAATTTTAGCAATTTATAGCTCATTATATTTCTCTCATTGAGGTGAATATTTTAGTAGTTGTTTCATCCAGATTGGACATCTCTATATCAAGTTATTAAATAAAACACTTGATTAAAGATAAAATTCTATTATAATTATTTATATATTGCAATGTTCATTATTTTCAGACTTTTGGAAAATAAAAATTAAAACATTTAGAATTATTCAGTTCTTAAGAAAAAGGTCTGAAAATTTTGTTGATAGTATATTTTGCTTCTGGCTTTCAGATTTATTAAATTATTCAAAATAATTTTGCATGCAAGTATAGTCAAAAATAATTCTTATAAAAAAATAAGTTTTCTTTCCACTCTAGAGTAGATTCAAATAGATTTAAATTGTGAAATTTAGATAGTAATCTCACTGCAATAACTTTGTAACTAATTCTAATATTGAATTAATATTTTTGACAATACTAATTAATAGAATTATTGTTTTATTTTGTAATAAACATATATCTTTTTATCAAAACTCTGTTATTTTCTTATTAATTTATATTCTTCAAATATAAATTCTTATTTATAAACTCTTGTTAATACTTTGTAATTCCTTAATAAATATTTTTAACTTTTAGTTCTACTTTCTTAAATTGCTCACCTGAATTAAATAATTAGTTTTAGTATAATTGCCTGCATAAATCCTAAGTCCTCTATTTTCTAGTTTATATTTATAACCTCCTTTTGGAAAATAAAATTAGCCAAAAAAGTCAACTAGTAACAGCAGTTATGAAGTGTGACATTGAGCTCCAAGGGGAGATTATATACAAAAATAATTTGATATATTCTAGTTGAAATTCTATATTAATAAAAATGCATAATATATAATATAAGAATTAATTATCTCATTGGGATACTTTCTTCCATTAACATTTGAAACAGTAATATAGAAAAAATAAGTTAGTAATTATTAAGTTGTTGTGTAAAAATAATAATAATAAAGTTTCTATAAATTTATTATATAAATGCAAATTATTTTATCTTAAACAAATATATTTATATTTATTACCGTCCAAAGGCAATTTATTAATTTTTTTATTTCAAATTGGTTTTACACAAACATTTTTTATTTTTTAATATTTTATTTTATAAATACAATTAGAATAAAATCACTTAAAAAAAAATTCTCTATTTTAAAAACATTAATTATTATTATGAAGACGACTTTAAATTATTTTTACGTTTCTCTTGTCTCGCTTCATATTTTTCATTTAATATTTTCCTTATTAATTCATCATTAAATTGAAGTTCAAAGTATTCTTTATACTTTGGAAATAATTCAATCCACCATTCTATTTGTGGTATTTGATTTCTTTGAGCTTTCATGATACGATAAATTGTACGTCTTGAAGGATGCCAATCATCATTACTAATAAATCTTGCTAATCTTTCGGGATCTTCGGGATTTTTTGGTTCATCAAAAAATAATCGGATACCTTTCCATTTTCCTTTTAACACCATCATAATTTTTTCTTTGGGTGAATTCAATGAATTCCTTTGTAATGCCTTAAGTACTTGACCAAATAATTTATGTCCTCGATATTTTACATCTGTTAATAATAATCCAGCAGCTTCTTCTTCTGTTTTCAAGTTCCAAAATAATAATCCAATTGCATTTTCCTTTTCATTTTCATAGCCTTTGACTATTTCCAAAGATTTAATTTGCAAATTGGTATTTATATATTCATTAAAATAAAACTCAATTATAGATTCGGCAGTTTTATCAGAAAATGGATCAAAATATTTTGATTTGTTAGATTCAGAGATAATCGCATTACGACGTTCATGATTTTGACGATGTTGATAAGATTGAAAAAATGTTGCTAATAGTGTCTTGGGAGAATATTTACCGAAAAATGAGTTAGCTAACGTTGATTGATCTTCAAAGAAATGAAATTCTTGTTTTTTCAAAAGAGATTCAAACATAGAATCCATAGAATCGTTATTATCATTATTGTCAATAAGATATTCAAAAATCTTTTTAAATCTTAAAATGATTTCTACAGATTCTACAACTATATCTTTAATCTTTTCAATGATAAAATTGGAAACTCGAAAAGTTTCAGGGTCATATAGTTGAATTTTAATATTAGGAGGAACCATCGATTCTTCTGAATTCTCTTTTGAATCTATTACATTTGAATCTGCTAAATTTAAATTCGAAATTTCTGCCAAGTTCTCTTGTAACAAAGCCAGTTTTGCAGCGTTTGAATAACGAAGGTTAGAACTTTTATCTGAATTTAATAATGCTTTGAAATATTCTTCATAATTTATTTTAAATTCATCTACCGGATCTTCGATATATTTTTTCTTATCAATTCTGAATACTTTGGAAACATCCATTTCTTTTATAATTTCTGAGCTTTTTAATTTATTAAATTTTCTACGAATCGTTTCTTCTATCAAATATTCAATTAATCCATCATTCAACCATCTTTGTAAATCTGGTAAATTAACGTCTTTACATTTTAATGCACATAATAGATGACCAAGATATACCATGCAATTGGGAACAATATCAATTGTGCGATTTAAAGGGGATTTCAAATAATCTTCGAATAATTTTTTATTATCATCATGTAAATAATTAGATTGTTTGTAAATTGCATCACAAGTTTCGAAAATTAATTTGAATTGACGTCGACGAAATTCAGTTGAGGTATCGGAAAGTGCTTTAGAGAGAATTAAGAAAGGTACAGTTGTAATTTGCGAATAAGAGTAACCAAATATATCGAGTGTTGTCATATAACCTAATATTGGCTTCATTTTTTCTTTTGCGATAGACCAATGTTTTTCATTTATATACAAAGGAAGAATCCCTGTGATACTTTCACGTGCCATTCCTTCAACCGCTTTTGCACCAACGATATCAAGTCGAAATCCTCCATGTATCTCTTCAGCTGATACATTTCCTTGATCTAAAGCATATTTTACTGAATCAAAAAACGCGGTTGAACTTAATAAAGATTGATTAATTTTATTGATCTTAATTTGTGAAGGATCTGCTATGGCGGCTTGTGATCTCGAAATATCAAGAGTCAAACAAATACATTCACCCTCTTTCATCGCTTCAATATAATTATCGGTGCTTAAAGAACATATGAAAGTTGTCAAATTCTCTTCAGTCTCTTCTTTTTCCATTTGATCAAAATCCATAGAATCAACAGTTTGCATAATCTTTTTTTCAATATCTTCCATTTTATCAATGTTTTTGACCGCACGATTGTCAAGTTTGGTTCTTAATCTTTGTTTGGTAATGTTTTTATATGCTATATTATTGAAACTTGCGATTTTTTCATTTGTTAAGGTTCCTTTTAATGCTCTTATAATATATATAATAAATAAAATATTAATATTTTGAAATTCAGGGAAAAAGTAATAATAATAATAATAATAATTATAATAATAAAAATACTTACTCGGATAAAATAGACTTGAAATGATTAATTGTAGATTTGACTTCAAAAATTTGTTGTATGATTGTTCTTCGCATAGCAGTTCTTGATTTATAAGTATTTTGTAAAATAACGTTCAATTGATCTTCATACTTATTCGCTAATTTAGTTATTTCGTTAAATTTTTGTTTCTTCTCGATTTCTTGATTATCATCATCATTAATAATTTCATTTGACAATCTTGTAATCTCAATTTGAATGAAAGGAATTAACATTAAAACTGATGTCGGATCATCATTAAAAATTTGACGTGGGGGTAAAGAAATTTCATATTTATCAGCATCCGCAATATCAACAATTTGGTTATCTTTTAATATTGTGATTTTATCAATTTTAGTTTCCAAATCGCCCGTAAGAACTATAGTTCCTAATCCTTCATTATCAAAATAAGTTTGTAATATTTGGTTGTCACCGATTTTTAGATAGAGATTTTTATCACTTATTTCTAATAATCCCAAGGTTGTTTCCATTGTACCAGGAATATCTTCAGATGATTCCACGTATTGGAAGTTTCCTTCTTTTGAGCCACACTTTGTTAACCAGGATAAAAGAACTAAATAATAAGTAAATAAATTAATAATAAAATAAATAAATAATTAGTTGTGTGAAAATTAATTGATTTTTAAATAACTAACAAATGGTTAATATATTTACCAGCGTCATGATAAGCAGAAAATCCAACGGTATGAATTTCAGTCTTAAAAGAAGTTTCTAACAAAGATTTAGATAATTTCGATTTACTTTGTTCAAACTCTTCACCATGTGAACTTAGTCCATCAGTAAAGAAAATAATAGCTAAATCACTATCACCACCGATTTTCTTTAAATTATCAATAATTGAATTGAATACACAGGCAAATTGGGTTCCTCCTCGAACATTAACAGTATCAAAGTATGACCTTATGGCACCATTTTTCCAAAGCATATTGGGATCATCAGCAAATCTTACTACATCACAAGCAGTGTCAAAAAACATACAAGTAACATCTTTCTCAATAAGAATTTCTCGAGAAAATAATTCTTCCAGTAATTTCAAGATTGCAGTCTTTGCTTGAGAAAGTGGAGGACCGCACATCGAACCTTAATAATTAATAATAAAAATAATAATAAATAAATTTTAGCATATAAATAAATAAATATATAAATAAATAAATAAATAAATAAAATAATAAATAAATAATAAATTTTATCACCGAGACGAGATTTGAAATTTACCTGAAATATCAAGACAAATAAACAAAGAAATTTTACGACGTTTCCCTTCAAACCATTTAGTAATTACATCTTGAGGGATTTTTACAGAGAGGATAGTTTTATCATCGAGTTTATAATATTTCGAATCAACTTTATTATTAACAATTTTATTTTCCATAATTTCAATAATAATAATAATGATTAAATTTTATTTTTCAATTATTGTAAGAGACATTGAGAACGAAAGAAGTTTGACTTTATAAATTAAATATTTTTGACTGCGGAATAACTGCGAGATAATTTAATATTAATATGGTTAATTCATTTTTGTTACTACTGCGGGATTATTTGGGAATTTAATTTATATGATTATATGACATTTTTGCATGCAATTCAATCGGAATTCAAATCTTTTCTCTCTAGCCCAAATTGTAATATAAGAATGCACATTTTATTTCGATCATATGTGATCGATTGGTAGGAATATCGTTTTACGCGAGAAGTCCCTTATATGGTTTCTTTTAGGTAACAATTACGTAACGGCGGCGAAGTAGCGAACTTTAATGTGTGGAAGCGTATGACAATTTTAATGTATAGTGAATAATTTATGCAATATTTTTATTATGCATTCGTTTTGGTCTAACGATATATTACATAAATATTACATTTTAAATTATACAAGAGATGACGCAGTATTGAAAATTTATTTTATTACTATACAATTCAATTTTATTAACACAATTATACTATGATGATAATTAATAATAATAATTATTATTATTATTTACAATATAATAAAATAAAAAATACGTTTTATATAATTGCTAACCGTTATTATTATTATTATTATTATTGAAGTGGTGTAATACGATACGATTTTTTTTTTTAATTTTTTACATAAAAGGAAAAAAAAAATAAATAAATTTATATTAATATTTGTATTACCGTTTTTAACATATTTCCTATTTGATATTATTTATTTATTTATCTATAAAGCTTGGAAATTTAAGCCATGCATATATTGTCTCCTTTGTTCCCGATCTTCTCTCTATAAAATATTAAATTAAATTGTTAAATTATATTACGTAATAATAATAATAATAATAATAATAATAATAATAACAATAATAATAATAATAATAATAATAATAATAATAATAATAATAATAATAATAATAATAATAATAAATACCTTTTCCATCCAATATAGAATTCCAATAATAATACCCATTACAATAGTTGAAATAACTAAAACAAGTAATACCCAAGGAACCCAAACCCCAGGATGAATGTATAATTCCAATGACCATCTGTTATTATACATTTTTATGTAGAAAATAATAAATATAAATAAATAAGCAAGCATAAATAAATAAAAAATAAGCATAAATGAATAAGCATAAAAAAAAATAAGCAGTATGAATAAACGTACGTCGATGTATCGTAAACATCTGGAGGTTGATAAGGGACAATAATAAGTTGAGAGTTTGGTATAACTCCAGAATATGTTGTATAATGACTAGTCTATAAATAACGACAACAATAATAATAATAAATGAATTAATAAATGAATTTATTATTATTATTATAATATATTATTATTTCTTACCTGATTCCTTGTAGATCCAGCAAAGAATAATTCAATATAATTATTTGTACGACCCAGACCAAATAATGAATAAGGTGTAATTAATGCATGATATGCACTTTGGGGATATTGAGCAACTATTGAAATTAAAAATGTAATAAATATAATAAAATATTAATTGAAATTAAATAATAAAATATAATAAAATATAATAAAATATAATAAATATAATAAAATGTAATAAAATACTTTGATTTGCTCTTGATTCTCCAGATGTGTCAAGAACGGTAAATTTATATGATGCACCTGAATAACTAACTCCATATCCCTATAAATAAATTCAAATATATTTAATCCACCAGAATTCTAATTAAATTAAATTCAATAATTACAAATTCGATTAAAATTGCCAAAACACCTGTTTTTCAGCAACACCATTTAACACTATTAATCATAAGTAAATAAAAAAATATTAATGATGATGATGATAATAATAATAATAATAGAATAAAATAAATAGAATATAATGTATTTACTAAGAGCTTTTAAGAAGAATGCATCGACAAAGTAATTATTGGCTATCATTTGAATTTTTCGTGATGAACCGGAATCAGATTTGAGAACTAAAATATCCAATGTCCCCTATAATAATAAGTGAATAATAATAATAATAATAATAAGTGAATAATAATAATGATAATAGTAATAATAATAATGATAATAATAAGTGAATAATAAATATGAATTAATAAAAAAAAATATAAATAAAATAATTACATCTTCATCAAGATCATAAAAAGTAGCAGATTTTGCATCTGAAATATCACTTAAAGCTGAAGCACCATCTGAAACTTGTTTAAATGTCCGTCTTTTTGCAGTAACAGCTGCCTGATCACAATAACTAGTTGTACATAAAAATGATTCTAATAATGTAACATGTGATGAAGACGAGGAATATGTAACGACAAGTATATCCGGATATCCATCAAGATTATAATCTCCTATAATAGATAGATAGATAGATATATATATATATATATATATATAAAATAATATGTATAAATAAATATATAAATAAATATATGATATATATAAATAAATATATGATATATATAATTACGTACCTATTCTAATTGGAACAGGTAAAGTTCCTTTGAAATCCGTATCCAGAGTTAATATTTTTTCACCTTCAGGTAATTGAGATGATAAATCCAATATAACATAAGCCTAAATTAAATATAATATAAACCATATTAATATAAACCATATTAATAATAAACCATAATAGAATAAAATATAAATAATTACATCATTTGAATCAGAATCAGTTAAATTAAAATGAAATTTATCATCAGCAATACATAAATCTTGTGAACTACGACAATTCGTGTCAGAACTTCCACATAATGGAATTTGAACATTATATGCAATGTGTATTTTACATGTTGATTCATTAGTTGGACATACTGGAAATAACATATCAATTGCACCATCTCCATCTAATTATTATAATTATTATAATTATTATATTCAAATATAAATAAATATTATAAATATTTAGATATAATATTTATATAATAAATAAATAAATATACCAATATCAGCGAATGATATTTGTCCAGTTCCTTCGGGTAAATCTCCAGATTGACTAAATTGAAACTCTCCTTTGGTATTTATCCATATTTGATATGTCAATGATGAACTATCATTGCAAGTGAGAAATAAATCTAATTTATATAATTATGATTATTCGAGTATTTGAGTATTTGAATAGTAATAATAATAATAATAATAATAATAATAATAATAATAATATAATGAAATATACCAGCTAAACAATCTCCATTAAAGTCTATAAATGCATTAGAGTGTGGATCTGCTAATGTACAATTAGGTATCGTTGTGGTGTCTGTTGTATTTGTGGACATGGGAACTCTAATAATATATAATAAGTATATAATAAATATTTAAATAAATTAATAATAAATATTTAAATAAATTAATAATAAATATTTAAAAATAAATAATAAATATATCAAATTCTTCTCACACTTCAAATAAGGTAGAATTTGTCTCATTGAATATATTTTTCCATACTGAAATATATGAACTATTATCAAATGAATGTCCAAGTAAATCAACTTTCATCGTTCCATAATAATCTAAAGGAATTGGTTGTTGTACTGTTGATTCCGGAACTGTATAATAATTATAATCTATTATATTATAGATTATTATTATTATTATTATTATTATTATTATTATTATTATTATTATTATTATTATTATTATTATTGTGGATTATTATTAGATATTGTTATATTATATTATAGATCTATTATTCTATGATTATATATATATAATATTATATTATTATATATATTATATTTTCGACATTATTATAAATATTAGATATTAATATTTTTAATAATAAATTAGAATAATCACGAAACTTACTAAATGTATTATTGGAATATCCCATATAAACGCGCATATAGTTTGCCGCATCTTGATCAGTAGGATCTTCTTGTCCCATAATTAATAAATCCAAATATCCATCATAATTATAATCTCCTGGTAATACATTAGTAATTAAAAATCCGGGATTTGATCCATCTGTTGATATTGTTATATTCAATGATGGTTCTAATTCATACTTATAACTATCTATTTAATATAATAATTATATTATTTATTACCACCAATAATATTTAACAATATCTACATCCAATAAAATAATGTTTATTAAATTTACCATGATCCCATAGATAAATACTTATTGTTGTTTGATCAGCACTTAATACTATTAAATCTGTACTAAATAATTATATTCAAAAATTAATTAATTCCAATCAAATAATTAATAATTTAATAATTTAATAATTTATTAATTAAATAATTCAATTAATTATAAATAAAAATACTCACTATTTATCAGAATTAAAATCTCCAAATGCAACAATAGTCCCGTTGACATTATCTAATCCCATATTATTAACGGCATAAAGTGCGCTTGATGAATATTTTGATGCTTTAAAGAATCCATTTACCACTTGTATTATTATCGCTCCAAATATCAAGAATTGTGTCAGATAAAACTTGGCAAAATAATTTAATGTCATTATTTTGCGATTATTTTAATAGATGATTATTATTATTATTATTATTATTATTATACTGATTTAACTATACTTATTATTTATTATTAATATATTGATTAATTATAGATTATTATTATTATTATATTGAAACTATTATCTATCCTTGAAAAAAAAAAATATTACAAATTTTATTATTTATTGGAATTATTGGAATTTTATTAGGATTTTATGATGGAAAAGAGAAAAGAACGTGAATTGAAATAATTTTTTAAAAAAAATAAATAAATAATAAAGAATCTGGTATGATAATAATAGTTCGGTAATAATATTTTTTAAAAAAAAAAATATTAGGAAATAATTATGCGGTGAGGCTTATTTAATTATTTATTATTACTTCTTATTATAAGCCACAAGATTTTCTACTAACAATTACTATTATATCTACATATATAAAGTAGCATTAAAGTGGCTTATATTTATTTTTATATACATCTTAACACATGTTACTCTTCAGCTAAGCCCTCATTCCCAAACAAAAAAAAAAAAATTTATATAAAGAAATTCTTTGAATTCTTTTTAAAAGAAAATAGTCTTTTTGTTGAAGAATTCCTTTGCTATTTTATTATTAAACATTATAAAGTAATCTTACACCAAGTTTTTCGTTATTTATTATTATTTATTATCCATTTAAAAATATCTTTTTCTTTTTTTTCCACATCAAATTATCTGTGATCTGTGATGCTTCTCAGACTTATGATGATTATCATAATGATAATAAATAAAAATATAAATTATTAAAATCATTAAAGAGAAATATAAATATAAATTATTAAAATAATATTTTAAATTGAAATCTAATAATATAAAATTATATTATAAGATTATTACTAAAAAATATATTTGTAATATATGACTAGTTAAATCTATTTGTCATAAACCGTAAATCCGTAATGCTGGCCGTAATTCATATTTAATGCCATGATCTGGTTTGGTTATTAATGTAATGTAATTTTGCAAAGTTACTTTAATACATTGTCTTCAGAAAATAATAACTCGACAAATATGAAGCTGAAAAGATGATTTAATCATCATTTTAAAGCTTAAAACGGGAAATTTCGAATGATATTAGAAACACCTTAGTAGAAAATTTTGTTCTCTACTGCATAAAATCGACCAGAAGCAATCTATTCGGATGTAATAACTTGAATATCGATAATTGAACTATCATTGTAAAGCTTGAAATCAGAGTTTACAAATGGTATTAGAAATATCTTGGTAAAAAATTATAAGATATCACATATAAAATTATAAAATATTATATATTACTTAAAAAATATTTATATGTATCCATGAAAATGTCAAAATTATGAAATTTAATTACTGAAAAATTATTCGATAATGATTATTAAAAAAATATCGACTATCCAAATATATAAGTCAAATAAAATTAATATCATTAACAGTTAAGAAATTAAATAAATTAAATGGTGATAATTTTATGGATATCATTTTTATCATTATATTTTAATAATAAAAATTCAAATAAACATATATTATCTCTTTTTTTTAATGTCTATTTTTAGGAAACAAAGTATATCAGAAATAATGTAAGCAATATAAGCAGTATATCATCAGCAAATAATGTTCAGATAACAAAAAAAAATTAAATAAACTATATTTGATAATAAAAATTAAATAATTCGTATAATTCATATATATTTGTATTTGTTATATTTGTATCAAAGATTAAAGTTTTTTGACACGACCAAACTGATAATAAAATTAAACTAACTAATAGAACAATTAATAATGACAAAAAAAAAATGGCACTGTTTGTTAGAAGATAAAAAAAACCAAAAAAAAAAAAATCCCATGATAAACCACGATAACAACAACAGAAAATTCGTCATCATATTATAAAGATTCACCGAATATGTAATGAATGATTTACTTCCATTTTAGATAGATTGTGAAGGAATATAAACAAATGATTATTTTTTATTTATCTTATTTATTTTATTTTATTTTATTTATTTATTTATTTATTTATCGCAATAACGCAATAAGGAAATCTTAACCCAAACTTAATAATAAATTTAATAAATTTGAATAATTTGATACACTTGTAACATTTTTTAAAAAATCTTTGGTTAACCACCACTATAATAATAATAATGCATATATTCTTATGTAATATATAGTATGGATATATATATATTAGGGTCTTAATGTCGCATTGGTGTTGGTGTAATAATAAATAAACCAGTAAAATTATTTAATCTGTCGTGTTACATACAATTTATTTATTATTCTATTTTATTTTTATTTTAACGACCGACTCGACGTTAGATATATAGAAAGAATATAATTATTATCATTATTAATCTTATTATTCCTATTATTCTTTTTCTTTTTTTTTTATAAAAAAAAAAGGATTTTATTATTTGCAAAAAAATATTATTTTTTTTCTTAAAAAAAAAAAAGTTACGGTATAATATAGCGGATGCATCACATGTCTTTAAATATATAGCGTCGGGTAGCGCTACATATATATCATTTTCCATTCTTTAATTTCGTTTTTGTTTAACTTACATTCCTTTTTTCTTCTTCTTCTTCTTTTCATTCTTTTCATTCTTTTCATTCTTGTTATTTCATTATTAGAAAACTTATGTCAACGGCTTTTAATAGTCATACAATAATCTTATAACAGTTTTCAAGAACTTTCAAATATTCATTTTCAATATAATTTCAACGAATATTTCTCAATAGTATTCATTTTGGAATTATTTATTCCTTGTATTCATATTTTCTTATATTTTCATTTAAAAACAAGAAATATTCCTTCCATTATTCCTTATAATAATCATTTGATCCATCATTATATTCAAGTCACTATTTATATCAAAACATATAAAACATCAGTCATTACCACCTTAAATATCATTATTATTATTACATTTATTATATTTATTATATTATTATATTATTATATATATTTATCATATTTATTATTTCATTATTATATTTATTATCATTAAAAGTATCATTCATTCATTCATTAAAATATTTTGTTACGTAAAGATTAAATTATAACGAATAAAATAACATATTTTTTTTATTATAGGATGTTCCCATCAAATATTAATCGCAAGCATTTAACAACTACAAATTCTAATAAACACATAATTCCTCAAATTCCACCACATAATCCTAAAAATAACAACTCTAATAACTTTAATAATAATAATAATAAAAATAAAAATAAAAATAACGACTTTAATAATTCTAATAATTCTAATAATTCTAATAATTCTAATAATTTTAATATTAATAATAATAATATTAAAAATATTAAAAATATTAAAAGTATTAAATCATCCGCCAAACCATCAATAACAGAAACTACATCATCATCAACCGAAGGAACTACACCGGAAGGTACAACAATAACAAAAACTACTACTACCACCACAGTTACCACAGTGACTACTACTACGGTTACCGCTAAAAATCCTCTAGATGGAAATGGGCCACTTTATGTCGATCTAGGGGATTTAGATTTATCACCATTAGATCCTAATAATAATAATAATAATAATAATAATAATAATAATAATAATAATAATAATAATAATAATAATAATAATAATAAT